TTGTTTGATTTTGTTTTGTTTTGTTTTATGGCAATATCAGTATAATAAAAGGTGCTAGCTTTCCTTACAAGCCTCCTCTGCATTTTCGGGCTTTGCTTGCTTGTCCTTCACATGATGCTGCTTGTAATGACTAAGGGCCCCTGGCCATGAAATATCTAGAAAGTCAGCCCTATGCCAAGCACCCAGCTATGCATGCATGGCCACCAAGGAGATAGGTGTCTACTGGAGACATCTGTCAGCTCCCCCACTTAACATGGTTGCTGCTGTATCAAGAGCAAATGTTAGTCTATCCAACATTACGGAGAGAGTTGGGTGATGTACCCGTGTTATGGAGAGCAGCTGCATGGTCTATCCAAAACTAAGGAGAGGGTTGGGCGGTCTATCAAACATCAAGGAGAACTCCTTTCCTGCAGCATTTCCACTGGGCATTTCTTAGCCCGAAAGAGACAGGCCACTCACTCTGTAAATTAAAACTAATGTGGGCAATCAAAGGCTGGGAGGTATCTGGATTGCTGGGTGTGCAGGAAATCCAGCGGCACTTCCCCTAGGACAACAGCAAGACATGGATGTGGAACTAACCCAGGAGCCTTTTGAAGCAGTTGTGCACTAAGATCCTTTGTGGCTACCTGATTGCTACCAGCTACTGTCACAGCTGATGTGGACATTTTTGGTGGTCTCTGTCCCCAAGTCCTTCACTTCCCAAGATGTCAATACAAATGGGTGCAGGGTTGGCTGCTGCTCCATGCATCACCTTCATACTAGCATTCTTAGAGACACATACTTAATTTTATTCCACAGGAAGAGGAATAAAAGAGGAGGACACAGACATGTAAAATGTGCTGGACCTGCCTGGTGTCAGCAGCTCCTCTGCCCAGGGAAGGGGTCAGGTTTCCCTGCAGCAATGTCACCCTGCAGTGTTATCACATGTGTGGAGCCTGATCCACGGAAATGCACTGTTTACCTCCAAGGTGCTGCTCCTGATGAAAAAATAAATAAATAAATAAAAATAAAGTGTTTCCCTGCAAGCAAAGTCCTGCCAATGCGTATAGTACTGCATTTAAGAAAAAAAAAAAAAAAAGGATGAGGCATTTACAGGAGATCATATAGGAGTGTGTACAGATAAAATGAACAGGAATAAGTTGTGGAAGGGCTGCAAACTCTTCAATTCCAGGGCATGAGGCAGATCTGGATAAAAGGGGACTGGGAGGGATCGTTGTCTTGGGGGCAAGTGGATCTCCAGCTGCCTGCCTCCCGTGGTGAGATCCCGTCTGCCACATCCATCACCGCTGCCTCGCTCTGCCATCCATGTGCAGGGTGGTGACCTGCTCCGTTAAATCTCTTCTCGCGGAGGGCTCCGGGAGTGCAACTTTTGGTAGCTGTGGTTTGCGTCGGTGTTTCTCCGGGGCTTGGTGGGAGGGGAAGCTGAGCAAGAGATGCTGTAGATGCAGGCACAGAGAATAACCCCTAAGTTACGTGTTATGGGCTGCACAGTTATCTCTGAGTGCATCAGTGCTTGTACGTGTGTGCATATTTATGCAAAAATATTATCTGATGATTATGCGTTTAAATATATATGTATATATCTGTATATATATGCATATGTGTGTGTGTATATATATTTATATATATATATATAGGGGCACTTGCGTGGAAAAAATGTATATGAATTTGCATGCAAAGTAACACCATATGAAGGAGAAGTGTCTAAATATCCAGCCTGTGCCCTTAGTTAATTCTATATATTTTTTTAAAAAATGCATTGCAATCAGTGGCAATCTGCCCAGGCGGTTGTGACATGGGGAAGACACCCAAAAGGCACGTAGAAAGGCAGGGCAGACCGTTGTCCTTCGCAGCTGTGAAAAGCACCAGAGACCTGAAAGTCTCTCCCAGATGTGCTCCTGTTGGTTAAAATCCCTTCCCCCCAGCCACCTCGGCGTTCTTTTTTACTTTTTTCCTCTAATAAATAAAGCATGAAAAAAAAAGGAAAAAAAATATAACCCCGCCCCCCCTCCTTTTTTCAGCAACTAAAAATTTAGATCAGGGACATTTCCAAAATTTAGGGTTTTTCTTCTGTCACTTTTGGCAGCTGCAGTCGTGGAAGCCTGCTCGTGATCCCTACCAGGAGGAGGAAGATGAAGGGAAAAGGAGATGAAGGAGAAAAAAAAAAAAAAAACCACTCTGTGTTATGCTGGTCTTAGATCGCGGGCTAAATGATCTCATCCAATTTAAAGTTAACTCCAAATGAATGATCTCCAAGAATATGATTTTAATATTTCCATATCTTCCTGTTCTTATCTTTCTGTGTTGCCATGATGTCATGCAAGAATAATAATTGCGCTATTAGTTTTGGTGTCTAAACAATCTCGCAAGGAGAACCGGCTCTTGGGCGCTGCCCTAGAAACTGCTGCCGTCTAAAAAATGAAATGTAAAAGGAGGGGACGAACTTCTTAAAAAGACGTCTCTCCTTGGGGACACATCAGCAACAGGTGCCCTGCCAAGGAAACAGTGTGTTATAGATTAGGGTGTTCAGGAATGCAGCTATTAGCATTTCGACGGAAATCCTTCTCTGTTTTGTTCTCCCTCTCTCCTCTTTCTAAGAAATATTTTTAAACTATTTTAATCGAGGACATAGATATGATGCAAAATAACCAAATATAGCCCGAAATGCCCCAAGGTCCTGATCGCAGCGTGTGTATAATGTATGAAAGGTGTCAGCCAATGAAAGCAGGCTGGGCTATTTTATGTATATATGTTATTATTATCATTAATATTGCAAACATTAACTGGTTTGAATGACTATTTTTAAAATTCATTTTTCCGCCAGCCGTCACTCACTTCCAAGTGATTTGTCTTGCTATCGGGATTTTGGAAAACGATGCCAGGTTTCCCTTGTTTAACCTCTATGAGGAATGACAAATGAAATATATATATATATACTTATAGATAATGCATTCCCCCTACACACCCCCCCAAGAATCTGGGAATAAACAATGCAAACAGAGGGAGATTCGCGTTGCAAACGGCGGAGGGGGGAAGGCAACAGGGGAGCGCGGGAGGACGTGGCGCCAGCGCGGAGCTGCACGGCGTAAAAACGCCTTTTGAACGCGCTCCTGGCCGCTCGCAGCGCCGGTTCCACCAGAGGGGGGGACAAGAAAATAGCAATAATAATAATAAAAGCACAAGGAGCGAAGAAAAAAAAAAAGAAAGAAAAAAAGAAAGAAAAAAGAAAAGAAAAGAAAACAAGAAAAAAAAACATTTCCCACGCGTGTCGCCCCACTACGGGCGCAGCAAACGGGCGGCATTTTGCTGGGCAGGGGCGAGCGCCCTGACGGGGCGGCCGGGGCCACGCGTGGGCTGCGGGGAGCCAAGACACCTTTATTTTCCCCCCTTTTTTGTCCTCCCCTGCCCTGCTGCGTCCA